TGTTATGGGGAATAAATGTAGGGATTTCAATGCGTGTATGTGGTAATTGTTTCCACAATAACGGGTACTCATGTATTTATTAGGTGTTTAAAAGTCTGTGTAACCTAACAGCTAAGTTACAGAAACAGCCTAGATGTCCTACCATAGATGAAGGGATCAGAAAAATGTAGTCCCTATACTATACATAGTAGAATCTTTCTCATGCATCAGAAAGAATCGTATTATGCCATTGTCAGGGAGATGAATGGACCTAGAACAGTCTTGTTGAGTGAGGTAAGCCATGCTCAGAGAGACAAACAGCATATGTTCTTTCTCATATGTGGAGATTTAAAGTGTAGATTTAAAATACAATCAAACATGATAACGATATGGGGCTCTGTGCATTTATAACAAACTAACTAAAGGAGAGTAGATATAGGAGAGGAATCCAAAGGCATAACTCCTCTGAACATTTAAGGTATTATGCATCTAAACAAATTCCAAGACCTGGAATCATGTTTTTTCCTTTGTTTTGGTTTTACTTTTTTTTCTGGGGGGGATCAAGGGGAGCACAGAAATAGAGGAAGGGTGAGCAAATACATGTAGTCATGTATTCAATGTACACTAGATAAAAAATGAACTATACAACTTGTGGGAGGGGGGAAATGGGGGAAAGCGAAGAAAGGCGTGACATTGCCCAAGAAGCAGTGTACTCATAATCTAACTATGAAATTGTAACCCACGTCCTCTCTCAGGTATTACCCTCCTCTCCCCTCCCTCCCCTCCCCTCCCTTCTCCTCCCCTCCCCTCCCCTCCCTTCCCCTCCCCTCCCTTCCCCTCCCCTCCCCTCTCCTCCCCTCTCCTCCCTGCCCCTCACCTCCCCTCTCCTCTCTCCTCTCTCCTCTCCTCTCCTCTCTTCTCCTTTCCTCTCTTTAGTGAAACCTTGGTGTTTTTAGATACCAGCAAAGAAAAAGTTTATTTTGGCCTTTTCTCTTAAATTTCTTCATGGTTACAAATCATGAATTCAAGTCAACTGATGTTTTTAACTTCAGTATGTTGAAATTTATCCTCATAAAAACTTTTCAAATGTGCATATATATGAAATATCAAAAGGAAAACATTCACAGGGGTTACCTCTGTGAGAGGATTAGAGTTTTCCTTTGTACCTTTTGTATTTTACAAATTTTCTACAGGGAATGTTTAATCAGACAATTTAAAAAACCTATTTGCTTTGCCCCTATCATCCTTGTTTTTTTTTTTTTGTCCATAAGTAAAATTGTGTTTCAAGTTCCATTTTATGAATCGCATATAGTTCACACAAGGTTCATTTCTTTGCCATTCATCACAGAAAGACAGATCATAGCTCATTCATGGTGCCTCCCTTGGACCCCTTCCCAAAGCTCCGTAAAGCACAGCCTAAGCTCTGGTCTGTGTCTAGGGCAGATCCCATAAGAGCAGCCATGTCCCATCAGCCAGGTTCTCTTTTCTTCTCTTGGTGGCTGCTGGAGAAGGTGGCAATAGCCTGGGCTGAATTTACATAATCGAGAAATAAATTTCCATTGGATTAAGCCACCAAGACTGAAGTTAATGTCAACGCTAACAGCAGCACACGAGTCACTATCCCCTAGAAAACTCTGAAAAGCGTTTCACCATAATTGAAAAATGAGCCCATGTAAGATACATTTATGTTCTTATGCTAAAACAAATCAAATATTTCCAGCCATTCCATTTTGTACAATCTGGTATTTGCATTTCCAGGCTGACAGTGGGGCCAAGAAAAAAGGGGAAAAAAATAAGGAAACTGGGCAGCGTTTATCCTCCAACTGCATTTCAAAGATTCCAAAAATCATTGGGTGACAAATGAAAAGGCCAATCCTGAGCCAATGTTTTCAGGTAGAAAGAGTCAAACTAATTCTTCTGATTAAGGTGCTTTCAGTGGTTGCAAAGCTATAAGCCAACCTTAGCAACTTAGCTGAAAACAGTAATGTGGATCACACCACCTGATGGATGTAGGCCGAGAAGTGTTTCTGAGAGCAATGTGAAGCGGAAAGCTCCATTTACAGTTGCTACCATCTGAAATTCCCATCTAGCAGAACTGAGTTTCCATGACAGCTAATGCCAGGAATGGAGGATCTGGCCAAGACTGGGCTGAAGTGTGGGTTCCACAGAATGATGGAAAATGCACTTAGTTACATCCAGATACTGGTGCTGGTTCCATATTGGTGCTTCCATTTCCTGCCTGTATTCTTAGCAAGTATAGAGATATAACTTTCTGTAGAAATATTTAACATTTCTATTAGCAATGGAACATTTTAGTAATATGGGATTGAATATTACATGTCCCTACTAACATAGAATATGCCAAAAAATGTCAACAAGTTAAACAGAAAGTTAAAGAAAGTTAATTTCGTCCCCCTCCCTCTCTACTTAGAGGGTGGGATGGAGCCAGGGAATTTTGAGTATATCTTATACTTTAAGGAAGGAACAGGCATTGTACCATCATCACACAAAATACCCAGGTAGAAAAGAATATCCACAACTGTGTTGGAAGATGAGGTAGACTCATAGGAGGAGAGACTCAGTTGACTTAACTTCTCCTGGAAAATACATTCTCCGCTGTCCTAATTATAAGATACCAATATAATGTTATAAATGAAAATAGTCTTCCTCCAAGGTGCTCCTGAGTCCAGACTTGGGAATGATTTAAGGATCTACAAGACAATGCATACACTTGACTTTGAGGTAGCCGGGAAATCAAAACCAGACAACAGGCATAACTTCTGAAAGTCCAGTTGAGTGCCCTTCTCTGGAAAAACCATTTTCCATCTAAGAATCTCTCAATTCATGAGCTAGAGCTTGTAACTTTGCCTCTTTTTTTTTCTTTTTATTTTTTTTTGGGGGGGCGGGAGGGACCAGTGAGGTAAAAAGCTCTTAAGAGAACTCAGTGAAACCCACACCTCATTCTTTCAGAAGCAAACTTAAATGTAGACTTAATTTTGAGTCAGGGTAACAGGTTATGCAGGTTCTTCTTTGAAGAGAATTTGTCTTATTAGGTTTGTAGATCTACTGTAACATATAAGGAGCTTCATTAAGTTCGAAATCAGCATTTATGTAATCAAGACAATTGATTTATGAAATTATGATTTCTGACTTATTAGATGTGTACAGTGTTTAAATATTTGAGGAAATGTGCTTAATAGAAGTAAAAAGCTTAATAACCTGAATGTTAAACAAAACTAAATACTGTTAAGTGTTCTTTCTGAGCCAGCAGTCTCCGAGATGTTCAGGATCCTAGCAACACACAGGACAGCTACTATCTAGTAGATTTAATGAGCTACCTTGGAGCAAAAACACATGATGTTCAGTTTTTGACAGCAAGATCCAAGCATGCTTTGCAGGGAAAAACCAGCTAGCAAGTCCATGGGTCACTTTGTGTTAATGAAATCAGTTAACAAGTGTAATTGATTATTTTGTAGATTGGAGACAAATGTTTGTTCACCTCTGTAATAATAATCAGATAGGGTCTCGTGCTTTCCCCTGCTAGTCTAAGATTTCAATCCTCCTTTCTCTGCCTCTCATATAACTGGATTACAGGCATGTATTATCCCTCAAGGTTTATATCTTTAAACTACTTCTAAAGTCATGCCTTCTAAAGTTAGAGCAATTGAGAGATTAGGACTTTAGAGAAAGGGTACAACACGCAATATGAATGATTAAAAGACTTTTAGGAAAAAATAAGTATTTTTCCCCCCAGGTTCTGGGGCTTAAACTCAGAAGCTAACACTCTCATTTGGCTTCTTGGCTTTTTAACTCCAGGCTGGCACACTGCAACTTGAGCTACACCTCCAACTCTGGCTTTTTTACTAGCTAACTGGAGGTAAAAAGTCTCACAGATTTTTCTCCTGATTTCAAACCCAGATCCACAGACTTCAGCCTCCTGAGTAGCTAGGACTATATTCATGAGCCGCCACGAGCATCTGGCTTAGTATTCACTTTTATGATATGTTTATGTCAAACTTTACCTTCTCTTGCCAATGCTCATTAAAATCTCTCTCTCTCCCCATATATATATATATATATATATATATATATATATATATATATATATATACACACACACCTGCCACAAGTACTTCCAGGGTCTTCATACAAGCACTTCCTATAGCTATCATGGAAGAACAATTCAAGTTGCCAATCCATGCCCAAGTAATGTCAATGATTCTTCCTTGGCTGTGGACATCAGCAGTTGTTATCTTTTCTGCAATAGACACTTGCCTGGCTGATCTAGCTGCTCTGAGGACTTAGGGATTAATAATGCTCAGGGATTTAGTGTCCTAAAGAGCTCTTTTAATCCTCTGCTTTCTGAATGCCACTATATAAGCCAGGGCCTTCTGTCATATCACCAGAGTGTCAGAAAGTAAGCCACCTTTCTGCTTTACCTTTTGCAGATTGTATGAGGTACTTACCACCTAGGGGGTCCTGCATAATTTTGACCAGAATGCATTTCCTTCTTGTCACTCCGCCTCAGGTAGCACTCTGAGGGACTTCCTTTCTGAGCAGCAGCAGCAAAGCAAGCCACACCATGGGTGACATCAGCCAAGAGGCTGTGGAGAAATACCTGCAGGAGAACCCGCAATTTGTCAAGGAGTACTTCAACAAGAAGCTGCAGGTGAAGGCACTGGGGGGACGCTCAGAGAACAGGGGGGTAGCCGGCCAGGCCAGCATGTCATCCCTCCAGCTGACTCAGGTGGAGGAGTCGGCTCTGTGCATGGAGCTACTTGGGTCTATGCAGGAAGAGGCGGGCAGCCCCGAACTGGCAGTTCACAGGGCACTGCAGAGGCTGGCCCGGTTACTGCAGGCCGACCGTTGTAGCATGTTCCTGTGCCGAGCCCGCAATGGCATACCGGAGGTGGCCTCCAGGCTGTTGGACATCACCCCAACCTCCAAATTTGAGGACAACCTGGTGGCCCCTGATAGAGAAGTTGTGTTTCCACTGGACATCGGGATAGTGGGTTGGGCTGCTCACACGAAGAAAGTCCTGAATGTCCCAGATGTGAAAAAGGTAGGTGGCCTTTGACAGCAGGGCAGAGGTCTTAGCAGGGCTAGAGAGAAAGTCATGGGAGAGAGATGGGATCATCCTTGTGGCAATGGTCTGGCGAAAGCCTGGGGAAAGCAAGGAAAGAGGAGCACCTAGGTCTAGCCAATATAAATACAAGGTTCCCTGTTAAACTTAAATTTCAGATGAATACTAGATATTTGGTGTGTGTGTGTGTGTGTGTGTGTGTGTGTGTGTGTGTGTTTTTCCTCAATGCTAGTGCTCTACCACTTGAGCCATACAGCTCCACTTTAGGCTTTTGGTTGTTATGTGGAGATAAGAGTCTTATGGATGTTCCTGGTGGGCTGGCTTCAAACCATGACCCTTAGATCTCTGCCTCCTGAGTAGCTGGGATTACAAATGTGAGCTATCAGCACCAAGTTTGAATACTGGTTTTTAAGTATGTCCCATGTGATGTTTGACATTTTCCCAGGCACTGATTGCTTTGGGGATTTCCTTCTGAGCACCACCAGTCCAAGGCCACCCACTGGAAGATCGGTCAGCATACCCAGTACCCACCCCGGCAATTGCTCCATGGGGGGTTTAATTCACACCTCTTGGAAATTTCTTTGAGATGAATTGCTCACAAATTCATCCAATTCTTGGGCTGGAAAGTTGGCTCAGTGGTAGAGCGCTTGCCTTGCATGCCTGAGGCCTTGGGGCTTGCCTTGCATGCCTGAGGCCTTGGGTTTGATTCCTCAGCACCACATAAGCAAAAAGAAAAAAGCCAGAAGTGGCGCTGTGGCTCAAGTGGTAGAGTGCTAGCCTTGAGCTGAAGAGCTGAAGAGCTGAGGGACAGTGCTCAGGCCCAGAGTTCAGGCCCCACAACCGGACCAAAACAAAAAACAAAAAAAAACAAATTCATCCAATTCTTTTATTGTCCAATATTCTTAAAGAAAAATAGCAAAATTATTTGAAAGTTCAAATATTAATTTTGGGTCACTGTAAGTTTGAATTTAGGTGAAGGTTAAATACTACCTTTCTAACTCAGATCTATCAAGAGTGAATACTAGTCATATAAACTGGACATTCGGACCATCTGCTCAAGATGGTCAAGGCCAAAAGCTCAAGGGTGTGTGTGTGTGTGTGTGTGTGTGTGTGTGTGTGTGTGTGTGTGTGTGTGTGTGTGTGTGTGTGTGTGTGTGTGTGTGTGTGTGTGTGTGTGTGTGTGTGTGTGTGTGTGTGTGTGTGTGTGTGTGTGTGTGTGTGTGCGCGCGCGCATCTGCTCAAGATGGTCAAGGCCAAAAGCTCAAGGGTGTGTGTGTGTGTGTGTGTTGCCAGTCCTGGGGTTTGAACTCAGGGCATGGGCGCTGTCCCAGAGCTTTTCTGCTCAAGGTTAAACCACTTGAGTCACCCCTCCACTTCCTGCTTTTTCCTGATTAATTGGACGTAAGAGTCTCACAAGCTTTTCTGCTGGCTTTGAACTTCCATCCTCATATCTCAGCCTCCTGAGTAGCTAGGATTACAGGCGTGAGCCACTGGTACCCAGCTCAGAAATTAGTTTTGATCCTGATAAAAACAGAAAACTAGACTCTTCTTACCACTGCAACACATATTTATTTTAGAAAAACTGGAAATATGTTATCACTCTAGACTCTTCTTACCACTGCAACACATACTCATTTTAGAAAAACTGGAAATATGTTATCACTCATGATCCTTTGCTTGGCACCAATCCTGAACACTCAATGCCTAGACTGTCTCTCTGCAGCCCTTTCTCTCCCACTGAGTCTCATTATTATGATTTCTATTAACAAAAGGAGAGGAATGGCAAGTGCTGGTACAGAGCAGCAGGGAGGGCCTGAAATGCTTTCTGTGGGAGGGTCTAGCATCAGCTCTCAGAGACACGAGGATAATCTCCAAATACCTCCTGAAGCTGATTAAGGGAGGAGGCTCTGCGCAGACCTGGAGAGAGCTGCTGGTTAAACATTAGCACCACTCCGGACTCCCCTGAGGTGCAAGGGTTGCTCTGTGGCCCTTAGCATCCTGGGTTCTTCAGTTCCTGCTTTCAGAGTTTGTTACTTTACACCTACTTTTCAGGTGATTGCAGCTGCTTCTGTTGGCTAAACTGATGTGTGTGCTTGAAATAAGCTTTTCTTGATCTGAATTTAGGGGCTGCACTCGTAAGAATTTGCTTCTTTCCTGACTCCAGCAAAGTCCAGCTCCAAAATCACCAAAGAATCACAAAATCACTGAAGATTTTTTTTTTCTTGCCGGGCATGGGTGGCTCATGCCTGTAATCCTAGCTATGCAGGTGATTGAGATCTGAGGATGTAAGTTGAAAGCCAGCCTAGGCAGACAAATCTATAAAAACTCTTATCTCCAATAAACCAGAAAAAACCAAACAACCAAAAAAAACCCAACAACAACAAATCAGAAATTAAGATGTGTCTAAAGTGTTAGAGCACCAGGCCTTAGTGTGAAAAACCAGAGAACATGAGGCCCTGGATTCTAACTTCAGTACTGACACCGAAAAGCACAAACTAACCAAGCAAACAAAAACAAAACCTGAAATTTATTCTGAGTTTAAAAAGAATTTTTTAAGGAGAGGTGGGGTATAATAATTTTTGGTATAATACCTTTAAAGAATAAAATGATCTCTAAAGTAATTTAAATCATATTCTAAAGAGCTCAATTCTCCAGAAGAAAATGCTAGATGGAATTGTTTTAAAGGTAAAGTGGGGCTGGCCTGTACATTGTGCATTGCCTCCAAAGACAGGACTGTAGGACTGTTGGTGATAGAAGTGACTTTCCCTTATTATGACAGAGGTGTGTGCGTGTGTGTGTGTGTGTGTGTGTGTGTGTGTGTGTGTGTGTGTGAAGGCAGATGTCCTCCTGAGCTCAGAGGGGAGACAAAGGGATTATTTGCTTTCTATTACTGCCTCTTCTAAACACTCCTCTCCCCTTCCATCCTAAGTTGTTTGCTTTTTTTTCTTTCTGGTCCTGGGGCTTGAACTTAGGGCCTGGGCACTATCCTTGAGTCCCTCTGTACTCAAGACTAGTGTTCTACCAGTTGAGTCACAGCACTACTTCTGATTTTTTTCTGTTTATATGGTACTGAGGAATCAAACCCAGGGCTTCATGCATGCCAGGCAAGCGTTCTACCACTAAGCCACATTTCCAGCCCTGAGTTATGTTTTTTGAAGCCTGACTGTGCATTCAAATCAAATTGGCAGCTTAAAAAATGCTGATGCTGAGATTCTCAGTAAGTCAGTTATACCAGACTGACTGGGATATAAGCATTGGAATTTCTACAAGTTACCCAGGTGATTCAGCCAGCCAATGTTGAAAAACACTGGCCTACTGAATGAGCAGACACCAAGAAGGGGGTGAAGTTCAAAGCAATGTGGAATATTAAAAGATGAAAATGGTGTGGCAACCCTGTTTTAGCTCAACCCTTTCCTATGGAAGACAGAGCTGTGTCTCCCTGGGACATGCGAGCAACTGAGAAGAGCTAGAATCGAATTGCGCCTGCTGACCCAGTCTCCCCGTGGTTTGCCCAAGCTTTAGCCACTGTGATAAATCCACAAGAACACAAGTGGACACCAATGTTTGAAGTGAAATTCTGCATTTATCCTCCACCTTTCTTTTGCACTTGGCAATTCATAAAGCATCTTTACATGCCTAACCTTATGTGGCTCTGGTAAAGACTCTGTACAGGAGGCAAGGGCCATCTGCATTTCCATCTCTTAAGTAAAAAATGTACTCCAGGTCAGGCAGGATGTGCATGGTGTGGCGTGAGAGCCAATCTCCCCTTTTCTACTCCATCACTGACTAAAGATGTTACCCAGGAGAGGGAAAGACTTCTCATACATAGACAAGACACAGAGTTGACACTCTGATCTTGGGTAGTCACAGGAAAGTCACATGATGTAGGGTGAGTAGTTGGGCATCAGACAGACACAACTGCAGGTCCATATCTGAGGCTTAGTGACCATGCGATGGACTGATTTCTACCACAGAGGAAGGGAGATAACCAAATGTACAGATTCAAGGTGCATAAAATGCCTGGCTCATATCACAGTAGATGCCCAATTGATTATTGCTGGGCTAGGATCATCATTATGCCAGTAGGAGTTTGGGAGTTGGGAAGATTTAAGAGCAGATAGCCAAAAAGGTCAATGATTATTGGCTGTTTAAACTAGGTTAGAGGCAGGAAATCATCCAACAGCAGCAAAACAGAAATGTCCTCTTCAAGCTAATAGTTTCTTGTTCTGTTGGGAGAGCTATTGATTAACTGCAAGCATGTTCCTGAATCTGACTAGTTTAAAAGAAAAAGCCCCAGGAGTAGGTGGAAGTTTGCAATAATTAGCTGGGTGCTGACATCTGCCTTTCCTCCTTCCTGGATATTTCTGCCTCTTTTTCTGCCTCCTGATCTCAAGGGTTAAAGGTTAAGGGGTTTAGTCAGGATTTATCTATACCACAGCCCAGGAGGGATCAGACACTCTGACTCTACAAGCAATATTTTCCGCTTGCCTTCAGGGACTTGTTTGGGAAAAAACCATCATAAGAATTTGGGAATCTGAGAAACACAGGATGTGCTTAGAGAACTTCACTAAGGACTGTTGGAGCTAGTGAAAATAAAAGCACTAGAAAGTTACAGCTCCCTTACTCTGGAATTTGATGGATGGTTTAACCAAGACATTCAGATTTGATCATAAATAAGCATTCAAATTTGAAAGCCATTTTCTCAAAGCTGGAAAGGGAAATGAAGAATATATCCTGTGTTCAGAATCTATAATAAAATGGCATCAAATCTTGAAGCCACTGAGTGAACTATATTGGGAAAGAGAAACTGCTTGACTCCACGCCAGGGGCCATATTTTTCAAATTTCCTTTATCTGTTTAGTGCCCAGGAGCCAAGTGTCAATGAAGGCCAACTGTAATGGAGAGGAGAGTAGGAAGAAATCAGGATGCAAAGCTGCCTACTCAAGCAGTGGATTAAGAGAAAGAATCTAAAGCAATCTGGAAACATTTGGCCTGAGATGCTACTGGAAGCAGAGATCAGTAACAGATAAAGCCTTCAGGGGGCACGCACCAGAGAGCTGGCCCTTAGAGAAAGGGAGTCTGTGGTCATAGGAATCCTATATCCTGCAAAAGGTATCTCATTTCTTCAGCGACTAGACTTGGTTAGAAAAGCTAAGGCTAGAACAAAACAATAATTTAAAAAGGGTTTTAAAAAGCCCCAAGTTTCTCGCTCTTTTATCTAACGAGACTCTGCTTTATTACATGCACTCTCCTGAGCACTCTGCCTTTACTGGCAGTTCTACTACCTAGAAACCACAGTGTGAAGTCAGAAGGATCATTCTCCCCACTTTCAGATTAGAAAACAAGGGCACAAAAGAAAATGCCATGGCCAGGGTCACACAGCTAGTAACTTGGGGCCTGATTTCAGCCAAGGAAGAGCCTTCTCCATTACACATTGCTGTCTTCCAAAGAAATAGAAGAGCTCAGGGGTGGATGCCACATTGATTCTCCCAGCATTTCACATTTGCATGGTGAGTGGTTCCATCTCCACACGGACAATTCCAGTGGGCTGAATGTCAGAATCCCATGGATCATTAGAAGTGCAGGCTCCTGGGGAATCCAGAGTGCCCTTTTGGAGATTAGGACCCCTGGGTGTTTGCTGTGAGGTCTGGAATCTGGTTTATCTGCAAGGGGTTCTGAGGCTGAGTTCTACTGACCACATTGCCCTTATTTCCTGCTGGAAATTCTGGTGGTCTTCTCATACAGGGTGAATAGAAGAAAGAATTTCAACCTTTTGTAAAATTAATGCTTTTTAAATTACATATAAGCTGTTGATCCAGCAAAAGAGATTTCTGCTTTGAGAATTTAACACGTAAAAGCAAAAGCAACAATGGCAAGTGCAGTATTGTTTGTAGTAGGGAAAATGGAACAGACTAGATCAGTAGAGATCTGTTGAACGGATAGATTATAGAGCATCCAAAAGATGAATTCATAGTCATCTGCCTTGGGCTGGAGAGAACTCCAGAAAATGATGTTAGGCAAAAGAAGTATCACATCAAATTAGAAAAGGAAATTTTATTTTAAAAGTAGAAAAGAAGCTGGGTGTCGGTAGCTCACACCTATAATTGTAGCTACTCAGGAAGCTGAACTCTGAGGATCAAGGTTCAAAGTCAACCCTGGGCAAGAAAGTCCTTGAGACTCTTATCGCCAATCAACCACCAAAAAGCCAGAAATGGAGGTGGGGCTCAAGTGGTAAAGCACCATCCTTAAGTGGAAAAAAGCTAAGGGACAGTGCCAAGGCCCTCTGAGTTCAAGCCTCAGGACTGGCACATATACAAAAGGTACTATAATCACCAACTGACAAGTTGAATTGAAATCTCTTTGTACAACTACTTTATTTATTTATTTATTGGGTCCGGTCGTGGGGCCTGAACTCTGGGCCTGGGCGCTGTCCCTCAGCTCTTCAGCTCAAGGCTAGTGCTCTACCACTTGAGCCACAGTGCCACTTCCAGCTTTTTTCTTTTTGCTTATGTGGTGCTGAGGAATCGAACCCAGGGCCTCAGGCAGGCAAGGCAAGCGCTCTACCACTGAGTCACCTTCCCAGCCCTGTACAAATACTTTAAAAAATGAGTATCTCTAAAAATAAAATCTTAGTTCCTACACTCCGATGATGTTTTGGCCAATGTGAATATTTTCTTCAGAACAGCCATTTTTCTGACTTCATGGACAAACAAACCGGGTACATCACTAGGAACATGCTGGCAAGCCCCATCGTGGTGGGCAAGGAGGTCCTGGCTGTGGTCATGGCAGTGAATAAAGTGAGCGCATCTGAGTTTTCCACACAGGATGAGGAGGTAATGCTAAGGCTGGGTGGTACAGTCAGAGGTGGAGGAAATGCATTTGCTATATAACCAAGGAAGGTGACACACCCGTAACTTGTTCTTCTTGGCCATCTGTAGGTCTTTTCCAAGTACCTCAACTTTGTCTCTGTAATTCTGAAGCTCCAACATACCAGCTACCTGTACAGTGTTGAATCCCGGAGAAGCCAGGTAAAGGCACACTGGTATGTTCTGACAAAGGGACCCAGAGGCAAAGGATCAGACACCACCTCACCCTCTGAGATTTAAGCCATGTGGACAGATCCCTGAGCTTCAGTACTATGAGTCCTGACATGATCCTTCCTCCCCTTTCTCCCTTCCTCTGCATCCCTGCAGATAACTGAGTGGGTCCTTCATGCCTTTTGTTTCTTCATTTGAGAGATGGCAATGATAGTTATAATACCTATTTTGCATGGTTTGTGTGACCATTTTGTTGTTGTTAGTTGCACAGAAAGTTCTTAGCAGTGTCAGGATTGTAGGAAAGAAATCACTCCTCGAAGGCTCATGGTTTCCTTGAGGCAGAGGGCTAAAGAACACTACTTGTAGCCAAGAACCGTAGCTTCTGCAGTCCATACAACATAATGGGCAAGTTCTAAAGACCCTTCCCACTCAGTTCTGCACCAAGTTGCCTCTGACAAGCTACAGATGTGTGAAGGATGTGTGTTTGTCTACCCATGAGGGACCACGGGGGCCAGAGGACTTTGCCCAGGGACTGTACCTCCAACTTGAGAGCATTTGCCCTTTGGAAACCAACCATGGCTTCCCCCACTGAATAAGCCTTTGGAATCACAAAGGTCTCCTCCTCATTTCCCTAGAGAATCTGAGTAATTTTTTGTTATATACATGTTCCAAAGTAGAATAGCAATGTCTAGTGACATGTCACCATCCTATTTGATATACTCATGTTTTCTTTGGCCAAATGCCTCATCTTTCCATAGTGCATTGTGTTCTAACAGTTTTCTTTTTCTTTTTCTTAATACCTACTTTCAGATCCTTATGTGGTCAGCCAATAAAGTATTCGAAGAGCTCACAGATGTTGAGCGACAGTTTCACAAAGCCCTATACACAGTGAGAACATACCTGAACTGTGAACGATATTCCATTGGACTGCTGGACATGACCAAGGAGAAGGTTGTCACGTTCCATGCACCTTGTCACCTCCTCCCCTTGGAACTCACCTAGAAAATGCATGCCAAAATGAAAACTAATCCATTGGAAAATAGATACACTGTGTAAATAACCAATCACAATGGACCACCAGAATCAATGCTAATAAGACGATACAGAGGTAAAAGTGTGCATTTGGAAGCAAAAAGGATACAGGCTTGGATTTTGGCTTGTCCACTTCCTGACTGTATGTGTTTCAGCAAGTCTTTTCCACTATCTAAGTAATAGCCCTTAATTTTTAGATCAATTTCAGGCTTATGAAAAATGTAGCAGACAATAAGAGTCCCCATCAACGTTCTTATTCTCCCCTCCCCAGCCACCAGTCTCCCCAACTGTTGGCCTCCGACCTTAGAGTGGTACATTTGTTACCAAGCTGGCCCCATTATTGACTAAAGTTCATCATTTATGCTAATGTCCACTCTGTGTCATGCAGTTCTATGGTTTTGGCAAATGTACAATGCACCATACCTGTTATTACACTGCCATACAGAATAGCTTCAGAACACCAAAACTGACCAGTTCTCTCCCTCTGCCTCTAAACCCTTGGCCACCAATTGATATAGATATAGAGATAAATATAGATATCAATGCATATATGTGTGTGGGTGTGTATATATATATATATATATATATATATATATATATATATAATACACAATTTACTGAATCGATAGCTTTGCCTTTTCCACAATATGGTATGTAGCTTTTGTGTGTGTGTGTGTGTGTGTGTGTGTGTGTGTGAGTGGGGCTTGAACTCTGGGCCTGGGCACTGTCCCTGAGCTCTTCAGCTCAAGCTAAGTGCTCTACCACTTGAGCCACAGCGCCACTTCTGGGTTTTGGTGAGATAAGAGTCTCACAGACTTTCCTTGCTCGGGCTGGCTTCGAACCGTGATTCTCAAATCTCAGCCTTCTGAGCAGCTAGGATTACAGGTATGAGCTGGTATGTAGCTTTTACAGACCAGTTTCTTCCACTTAGCAATGCATGTTTATTCCTCCATGTCTTTTCATGGTTGAACGGCTCAAAACATATTAAATTGGAACTGTGGCCCAAGTGGTAGAGCTCTTGCCTTGAGCACAAAAAGCCCAGGGACAGTGCCTAGGACCTGAGCTCAAGCTCAAGGAATTTGTATCGAATCACAGGTTCCTAAGCAGTATTGCTGGGAATTATAGGTGTTTCTAGGTCTAAAATTCCAGAGCTATATAGGTTAACAGAAAAATACACATGCAATTCGGATAAGATCTAGTAAGCTATAATAATCTTTAATAACCTCTAAATATAATTGCCTCCAGGAATTCTATGATGAATGGCCAGTGAAGCTTGGAGAAGTGGCGCCTTATAAAGGTCCCAAGACACCAGATGGCAGGGTAAATGCAAACATCACCCCCGATGCTGTCTGGGCATGTGTCAGGTGGTAGAACTAAGATGCTACAGTACAGAAAAGAAATAGCATTTGCTTGGGAAGCTCTGAGGTTTTATCCTGTAATTTCCTCTAGGATCCTGACATAGTAGAAAGGGCACTAGAAGAGGAGTCTGAAGATCAAATCCCAGCTATGTCTCAGGCAGCTAGGGTACTCCAGCCTTCATTTATCACTTAATATGTCCACTTCCTTTTCCAGGAAGTCAAGGCTGGGTGGGTCAGTGGTTCAAGTGCCTGGGTCACTCTTCAATTCTGCTGAATTGGGAGCTCGGGAAGGACTGAGCTAGATTAACTTCATCCTCAACTGAAAACTTCATGCTTATCCATCATGCACTCCAGGCACACAGGGAAGGGATTAATGAGGTGGTGTGCGTTCAGGCGTCAGGTTCTTCATCCACCTGGTAAAGTCGATAGACAGATGAGTACTCAAGTCCTTTCTAGCTTTGAGGATGGATCCCCTATTGGTGCAGACAAGCCAGTGCCAACAGAGCTGGGAACCCTTGCATAATGTTTAATATTTATTGCACTGCGAAATTAAGTGATTCTTCTTCCTAGTGAATTTATTAACACCAGGTATTTCCAGACAACAACAAAAAAGAACATTTAAAAGTAAAAATAGATTACCTGGCAATTTAGTAGTCAAGGAGTTTCCCTTCAAAGGTGTTTGAGTGAATGCAACTTCTTAAAATGAAATTTAGTCTAGTCTAAGTTCAGAAAAACATTTAATACTATTTCTGATTTTATTGTAAGCTTGTAATTAGAATGAGAGTTGTTTGTTAATTTAGCCTGCAGAGAAATGTCACTAGGAAGACATTTGATAAAACAAGTCCTATAATGATAAATGTTTTCTTTGGGAAACAATATTACACATTAAATCACCTCTCCCTCCCTCTCTCTCTCAGGAAATCACCTTTTATAAAATCATTGACTACATTTTACATGGAAAAGAAGAGATTAAAGTGATTCCGTGAGTGTTGGCAAGAAGTAACTATAGGACTTGCATTTTTTTTCCTTTTTGCAACACAGTTCATTCTTTTGTTTTTTTTGGGGGGGGGGCGGTCTGGTCATGGTCATGGTCCCTGAACTCTGGGCCTGGGCGCTGTCCCTCAGCTCTTCAGCTCAAGGCTAGCGCTCTACCACTTGAGCCACAGCGCCACTTCTAGCTCTTTTCTTTGCTTATGTGGTGCTGAGGAATCGAACTCAGGGCCTCATGCATGCAAGGCAAGCGCTCTACCACTGAGCCACTTTCCCAGCCCCGCAACACAGTTCATTCTGCACCTAGCAACACTTTTCTTCTAATCTTCCCCCCAGGGCACCTCCCTCGGACCACTGGACACTCATTAGTGGATTGCCAACGTATGTTGCTGAAAATGGATTTGTAAGTTATTTGTATATTCAAACTCTAAATCCGATTGCACAGAACTCTTATTAACTAAGAGTTAATTGTCAAAGCAAGCATGGACCAGACAAGCATGAAGTGACTAATTTCTTTGACATAGGACAAAGGGAGAAAATAATGTTGTCAGTGTAATGTAGCTTAACTGGAGATTTCAAAATTATGTGAAACTAGTTAATCAATAGGAGAAAGACCAATCTATTCCTCAACTTCTTGTTCCACAGATACACAACTTCATACATCCTTTCACGGTCAGCAACCATGATTTATTCTACATTACCTTTGTAAACCATCTCTGATGGATGCTCAGTCATTGAATAGCTTGGCACATTCAAGTTAGGTGATAAAAATTAATGGATGGCATAGGCTATCTCTTAAATGCTCAGGTTCTGAATAGTCATAAAAGCTTCAAAGCGTTTTCATATTTTCCTTGTGAAAGAAGTACAGAAGCACTTGCTATAGTTTAACCACCTTCAAAAGCACTCATGGTGGGGCCTTCGGCTGACCGGGCCTAAGGTAGTACAGGGAGAGGAAGTGCTCACACTTACTGACAAGATTAGATTTTCAGGAATTCTGTGAGCAAGTTGTTACGTTGTTCCCCATGGTGGAAATATTGACACCATGCATCAATGGGTGATTGAGACAAACCCTGGCTAGCAGTATCAACTCACCTCTGGAGATCAGTTGTGGTTTCATTCCATGAATTTGAACAAGTCATTTAACCTCTTGGAATGCTATCTTCTCATCTTTAAAAGGAGAAATTTAAATTTAATTGTGAATATCCCTTCTGGCATTAAAATGCTATGATTTCAAGTACTGACTTTAACTTTGATGAGAACAATATAATACCCATTTATGGATATGACATCATAGACAATTCAGAAAAAAACACTAAACAGCAAGAACAAAGATTTCATAACTTTCTAGCTGTGATTCACAGTCTCTAAACTCTAGGAAAGTGATATTTCATTGTAAGTCCTTATTTTGGTACTAACAAAAGGCTGTCTGGGTTTTTTTTCCCTCCTTATCACCTTCTTCTACAAAAATCAAAGAGCAAGCTCAGGATTACTGCTCATCCGTGTAACTGCAGAATGATCTTTCTGTTCATCTTTCTCCTCTCCTTGGCCCAAACATCAAATTGCTTTGAATTAGAAGGGGATCCCTTGGAGACTGGGAGTATAGAAAAGAGCAGAGATGATAATGTCACCAATCACTTATTCACAGAAGAGAAACTAACGTTAACAAGGTGTCAGCAAATATGACCTAGCTGAGGTCCTGTGGGAATAATCTGCCTGCAAAAAGCCAAGAGCTAGGAGAGAGACCACTGCTTCTCATGGGTCCTTCCTGATCTTTGTGGGCTTAAATGGCCCACCACGTGATGTTCTGAAAGCCTCTTGTCTCCTCTTGCTTTACAGATATGTAACATGCTGAACGCCCCTGCAGATGAGTACTTCACCTTTCAGGTAACAGCACCCTTGGCCAGGCCAGGGTGGGTGTTCTCCCCTTCCCTTCATTCTGATGCTGCCCAATGTCAGGTGAGGCTAGCTGGCACAAGCAGGGCCTTACTCACCCTGGCTGGCCCAGTGGCCACATATTAGCATATTCTTCAGTGAAGAAAGAAAGGGTTGGAGTGGAAGATAAGAGTGGAGATAGAGGTCCTACCTCTCCTCCATACTGGATATGACATTTCCTTCCTGGCCTTCTACTGGCAACAACAGTACCTAACACATCCTTGGTGCTCAGTAAATGTTCTCTGTGTGAATGACTAGCTGGACACATCCTACGGTCTGACTCCATCCCTTGTCAGGAAAACAGAAACTACACTAGGTCTTTCAGCAGAGAGAAACTAGGAAATTGACTTAAAGGTATTTTAGGGAGAAAACAAAGCAGGAAAGGAACAGTGAGGTAACAGAATAGTAAGAAGGTCTTTCCATCCTTTGGCCTGGGGAACAAAAGAAGGTTAGAGTGTCAAAACACAGATACTTAGTTCTGGAGTGACTGCTTGGATGTCCTAGAGGACGTATTATGGCTGTATAGTTCTAGCCATGTTTGTATGCAAGGTATCACCCAAAGATTCATTTAAAAGTCAACTAAGTGGTAGGTGGTGGAGTGGTAGCTATCCAGAGAAAGTAGAGGGAACCTCGTAGGGATTGAATCTTTCTGCATCTTGATTCTGAAGGTGGTTGAAAATCTACATGTGTGTGTAAAACTATACACTCTTTTTTTTTTGTGGTCCTGGGGCCTGAACTCTGGGCTTGGGCGCCATCCCTGAGCTCTTCAGCTCAAGGCGTGCACTCTGCTGCTTGAGCCACAGCAGCACTTCCAGTTTTCTGGTGGTTTATGGGAGATAAAGAGTCTCACAGACTTCTTTCCTGGGCTGGCTTTGAACCGCGATCCTCAGATCTCAGCCTCCTGAGTAGCTAGGATTGCAGGCATGAGCAACCAGTGCCGGGCTTGAAATTATACACTCTTATACATACAAACACACAGAAATAATTACACATGAATCCACTAAAACCCATGTAAGTATCAATTGTACACCATTTCCTTGCTCTAATATCTTACAATAGTTAACTTTGTGGAAATGGTAAAGCATTTGTGGGAACTCTATGCACATTTTTTGGTAACATCTTATGACTTGGTAACTATCTAACAGTAAAAAGTAAAAAAAGAGAATCTAAATTCCCTTATTACTTGTAGAAAGGACCCATAGATGAAACTGGTTGGGTCATTAAAAATGTCTTATCCCTGCCTATCGTCAACAAGAAGGAAGACATTGTGGGAGTAGCTACGTTTTACAACAGGAAGGATGGAAAACCCTTCGATGAGCATGATGAACACATTACTGAGGTGAGTGCAGTTACCAAACAATGAAGGCAGGCGGCATTCACGAATTAATAGATCCCTAATTATTTGCTATTAGAGAATGCTATTTTGAGAGGAAATTGAGACTCCTTCATGAATGATTGTGAACACAATATTGCTTTTGTATCATTTCTATTTCCTGACTTCTACAAATTTCAGTGTTTTCTATAAACTATGAAGTTTGGGCTTAACCCAAATTATTTCATTCCCATTATCTTCCTCCTTGTATTCCTTCTCATCCTCTCTCATTCTCACCACAGCCTTTTGTCTAAATTTTAGGACTTGCTTCTTACTTCTCTTTGTAATTCTCTCCTGTAGTAGGGTATGCCTAATACATGGCACTTTGAAAAGCAAGGGCTTAGCCAATTTTATTGTCTGGGTAATAAACTCATGTTTTTTCGTATATTAAGAAACCAGCCTGCTGGTGGAAGAGGCACTGGTGGATGAGGAGTCATGCAGATTGCTGACCCCAAATGAGCTTTCATTGAACTTTAGGGAACCTGAGTCACTTGTTTTACATTTCAGACTCTCACACAATTTCTGGGATGGTCTCTTTTAAATACTGACACCTATGAGAAAATGAATAAGCTGGAAAACAGGAAGGACATTGTTCAGGAAATGCTCATGAATCACACCAAAGCCACTCCTGATGAAATTAAGTCTATTTTGGTAAGTGGGGAGTTCAGTTCTGAGGATATTACATAGTATTTAACGTTGGCCTCAGGAAATCACCCAGGAGTCTGACAAATGAGAATGGAGATTTAGTCTGGGATAAGTAGGGAAAGACAGAGAAGGAAGACAGCATAGTGACCACACATCTTACTGGAAGTCCAGGCTACTTGATTGGAATAAACATTTAAAACAACTCCTGTAGTAGTAAGAAAGTGAAGTAACATCTAGATTGGAATATGATAGCAAGGAAAATGTATTTCCAGGAAGGTCAATGTATTAGTCAGCTATTTTCATTTAGTGGTGCATAACAACCACTGTTCATGAAATATAATAATCATCATCCTCCCATGTAATTGTAACCACTCTATACGGTATTTTCACAATAAAAAAATAATCATCATCCTCTCACTCATGCATTTTTGTACCAACCCATCCTTGTTTGACTTGGCTGAGTATTATGGCTCCAAGTTATGAGTTGGTTGGCTCTATATAGCTCTCGTTGTTCATGGACCAGCAGCTACCTAGATGTTCTCATGGTGATGGCAGAGTACAGAAGAGCAAGCTCAACTATGCAAGCACATGTCACAGTCACTAAAGTTCTCATTGACCAAAGAAAGACTCATGACCAAGGCCATTATCATGGGTAATGGGGGATCCAGTGAATTTTTCTATTGGTTTCTAACTACCAGAATGTGAAGGGAAAATATCACACCATCTATAGACTTTTGTTTGTGCCAGTCCTGGGGCTTGAACTCAGGGATTGGGTGCTATCCATAAGCTTTTTTTTTTTTTTAAGATGGCTACTGCTACGTTTTAAGAATCTAGAGAAATTTAGGGCTGTAGCTCCAGGGTTTGCCTGGCAAGTATGAGGGCCTCAGTTCAAACCCTAGTACTAAAAAGAAGTAAATATCAATCATATCTGTTTATGTCTTTCATAATCAGTTGCTATAGGTCCTTTTCCTACCCAGAATATATCTTTACCATGGAACAACTATCAAATATATCTTAATTGATTTTAATAGAAGAACCAAACAGAAATCTTTTCCTTCATAGGCATTTCACATCTCAATTGCTTTTACATTGTAGAGATTTAAAGAAAAGTTAAATATAGATGTCATTGAAGACTGTGAAGAAAAACAGCTTCTCAAAATTTTGGTAAGCATATTCCTTCTATCCTTGATGTCTTTTAAATAAAACATATCATCTTTGGTCCCTACAGTTAAATTCACAAAGGACAATCTGCAGTCACAGCTAACCTGCATGAGGGTCCTCAGGCACAGTGTCGAGGGATGTCACATCTTAGTTTTCCAGTTTTGGGCTACTCAATGGCCATTCTCAAGAACAGGCCAAATGTTCAGGAGAATATCCACCCTTCTGAGTGCAATAGCTGTTGGCCATCCTAGTTTCTCTTCTGGAATCTGGAGGAACTCAGTCCTTTTCTGTTTTTGCCATCAGGCCAATGCTATTTCTTCTGGTTGAAATTAACTTCTCTTCTGGTTCATTCATCCTGACTTCTGTTGGTCCAATACACTGTTAAACTTACTCAATCAGTTTTTTGTTTGCTTTTGTTTTGGTCGGTCATGGGGCTTGAACTCTAGGCCTGGATGCTGTCTCTGAGCTCTTCAGCTCAAGGCTAGTGCTTTACCACTTTGAGCCACAGCACCACTTCCAGTTTTCTGGTGTTTAATTGGAGATAAGAATCTCATGAACTTTCCTGCAATCCTCAGATCTCAGCTTCCTGAGTAGCTAGGATTACAGGTGTGACCCACCAGCACCAGGCTCAATCAGTTCTTAATTCTAGAAGGTGTCCTTTCCAGTTCTAGAAAATACATTTGTCTTTATGGCTTGTTTTGAGACAGAATCTTGCTATATAGCCTAGGCTGGGTTCCAAATCATTACCCTCCTGCTAAAGCTTCCTAAGTGCTGAGATCACAGGTGTGTGCTGAATTCTTTTTTTAAAGTTTCAACTCCATGTTGTACTTTTTCATCATTTGGACTATTTAAAAAATTTAGACTACTTGGACTATTTAAAAGATTTATTAATCATAATTAAAGTACACACTCATCTTAATACCTGAATGACCTTTAGATTTTCATTCTACTTCTCAGTTTTTCCCACTTTGGTTTCAGACACTTTATCCTGCTGTAGAGCATGCTTCATGATTTAATGAAAGACCAGATATTGTGAGTAAAAACCTGTAGGGGCTCTGAGTAGTAAAAAGGGTTGGTTTTTCTTTCGGCAGAGGAAGAATGTAGCTTTAGATATTTCGTTAGGGATCTTTCATTTTGCCCTCCCTCCTGGGGTAGAGATTTGTAATCCTATAGAATTACTTTAGGAATATTTACTAAGACAGAGTCTGGTTAAGACTGAAATGATATCCTGTTTTCTCTCCTCTCTGCTTCACCTCTTTTCCTCTGCCCCTTCCTAAGCTCTGATGTAAGCATTTTTTTCTAAAAAACCAAGCAACACAACACAAAACAAAATTAAGGCATACCAACTACCTCACCTGCTCCTGCCTGTTTTTATGGCCTCAATCCTCCCTTCTAGGCTCTTTGCTATGCTGCCAAAGACCTTTGGCTTTTGACTCCTCATTGAGGGCTCAGTCCCTACCCATGATGTTTTCTCCCTTTTTCCTGGGCCCTATCTCTAAACACCACCCAGTCGTATCTGGCTCCGAAAACAACCCTTTCCCATCCCTACCCTCAGTGATCCACATCTTCTTATAAAACAAAACTGTAGTCAATCTCCAAACAGGAGAAATTCTCTCATTCTCAAAGTAGAAAAGCTAGGATCTCATTCATGCTGCAGAAATGGTGATAGAGGCATAGCCCTGCAGATTTACCAAAACACTAGCTTATTTTGAATGTACAATCTACTCTGGTTTAATCCCAAATCATTGCTGCATGAAATTTAGGAATTTAAATAAACAAACAAATACACAGTTTTCTGGCATTGATTAACAGGGCATAGTCTTTGCCCATTTCTGCTCAAGGCTGTGCTTAAACTGTAGGTTCAAGTGGGGGTTAGCTGACTTTTCTAAAGGTTCCCATCTGCTGGAAGGCATGGAGCAGCAGCAGTGCTGCGAGTCATAGGAGGTGACAATCATTACCTTTGCTAATATCTATTACTTGGTGCCTTCTTTCCCACTGTGGAATCCCCCCTCCCTCTTCTTCCCCTGTTGGAAATGCCTTGAGATATTTTGGGGTATCAAATAGGAATAAGGACATCACTCAAAAGGGACTCGGCAAAGCAAACCTTGCTTCTGCATAAGAGTGTACTACTGATAGGAAGCCAAGTAACCAAGAAGGCTGGGCAGGGTGCAGTGCACCAGACTTTATTCCTCATTTGTACCATCCTTTCTTTTTGACAGGTCAGGACTTAGGTTTACAATCTTGTGTGATTGGCTAGTTTGAAGGGGGTGAAAAGTTTTATCCAAGTAATCAACAAATACAAGGACGCCTGGCCAAGTGACTTGTCTGGAAAAACAATTCTTACACAGCTAGGGCTCTACTACTTGAACCATGCCTCCAATTCCTAAAAAAACCACTTTTTTTTCTAACAGAATATAACTTAGTTAAAATAGCTTTCTTGTAAGATGGTGGCTATTCTTTGTGGGTGTTTCTATCAAGCACCCACCATTTTGATGGAAAAGATTCTAACTCCTACACTCCTCCCTTTCCTCTTTTCCTTCTCCCTCCTCTTTTTCTCCCCTCCTTTCCACCAGCTCAATTTCATCCACACCCCTATCTTTCCTCTTTTGATGAATGACGAACTGTCCTCAACACTGAATACAGGATGCATTCTGATTATTCTACAACCTCCCTTCAGTGGTCTGTATTTTATAAACAGCTCAATAAATCGGGCTTCTTAAGGATAAGATACATATTTTTAGTTCCCAAAACATATGACCAGTATTTATGGGCTTGCTTCACCATTTTTACCTAGTCCTAAGTCCTTAGGAGATATGGGTTACAAGATATGCTTGCAAATACACCATATTTATTCATTCAACAAACATTTACTGAGCACTTTTGTGGGACAGACACTGTAAGTTCTGAGATTCAGCAGCAAATAAGAGTGGGATCTCTGCCCTGGGGAAGTGAGCCCACAGTCTAGTGGGAAAACATCACTGTGTGGATAAACAAAATCTGAGAGGAATGAATTAAGCCATCATCCCATGTTTACTGAATATTTCCTGATGAAGAAAAGGAGAAGGTGAATATTGAGAACAAGTGAAGCTGCTATTAACAAACATTTTTTTTTTGCATTAGAGACAAAATGGAAATGGATTTGGAAGTGAATCTCACCATTTAAAGTGTTGGAATGTGGCTGTCTCAGTTTTGCCTCTTGTGAAGTGGGGGTAATGGGGTGGGTTTGGGTGAATATAAGCTATGCAACCCTTATAATATAGTGTGTTCAGGGAAGGCTCTGGATTCTTGCATCATAACTTTATTTGACATTCCACATTGGGTTTGAGCATGAAGGAGGGAAAGCCGGCTGTACTCTGAAACCATCTGTCCTTCCAACAGGAAGAGGAGTTGCCGGACCCCAGGACCACCGACCTGTATGAGTTCCACTTCAGCGACTTCCCCATCACAGAGCATGAGCTGGTGAAATGTGGCCTGCGACTCTTTTTTGAAATCAAGGTGGTGGAGAAATTCAAAGTGCCCGTGGAGGTCAGGTGGTATTTCACTAAATGTGCTTTAGGAATTCTGTTCTTGTGCTTCAGCGAATGTTTTCGGTGGTTCAAAAGATTAACTTGGTTTGGATTGCCAACTATCATTAACTTTGTCAATCCATCAGCTTAAACTCTGTCAACAAGACCAATACATATTTCTTTAGATAAGCTTCTAACCTTTAGAATTGGATTCCGAAGTCTGGATGGTGTTGTCACCTTTGGCTAACAGGTTCTTACCAGATGGATGTACACCGTGAGGAAAGGGTACCGCTCTGTCACTTACCACAACTGGCGGCACGGGTTCAATGTGGGGCAGACCATGTTCACCCTGCTGATGGTGGGTACTGAGAGCAAGAAGCCACGGGAAGCCATGGAAAACCTAGCAGGGGAGGAACAGATAGGGGGTGTGTCACAACAGAACCATCATTTTGAAAGTGTGGGTGCCCCATCCGACAACCCCTGTTCCTTGCATACCAACCCAGGGAGGATGGTTGGTCCCTGAGATACACCTGGGCACACCTTCTTAAAGGAAAATGGAGTTGCCAAGTAGACAGTCTAGTTACCCAGAATGCCATAAGACTCACAAACAAGCAAATTTGAGAAACATGGTAGGACCCTGTTCCCTCAGGCAGCCATTCCTGGATACAGCTGGTGTAGCAATACATTAATCCACAGAAATATGGACCTCTGTCTTCAGACAGGAAGGCTGAAGAGATATTATACGGATCTTGAAGCTTTTGCCATGCTTGCTGCTGCTTTCTGCCATGACATTGACCACAGAGGCACCAATAATTTGTACCAGATGAAGTAAGTGACCTGGATATTTGTAGGGGACACAGTGGGGGAAGGAACTTTGACCTGATCCCTTCTTCTTCTTCCATGTTTGGGAATCTCAGGGCCATGTTCTGTTCCCTCTTAACTGTGAGCCCTCAGGATAACTTCTATTTCTCCTTAGTGCTTGCAATCCCCCTGTTCTGTTTCCATTTCTAGTATGCCTCCTCCTTATTTGCATATGCCTCCTTTGTGACTCTTTAAAAGAAACAAGCATAGGCTTATACTTGTATATACCTGTGGAATGTGCCACAGCTCAGGTTAGAAAACACTTCCTCTATGTTTGTGTGGGTCAGTGTAGGTAGGTATTGGGGGAACTTGGGAACTCATACTAAGGCAGGTGCTCTACCATTTGAACCACATCTCTGGCCCTCTTTTGCTTCAGTTATTATTTTGTTGTATGTTTTGTTTTGTTGGTCGTAGGGCTTGAACTCTGGGCCTGAACACTGTCCCTCAGCTCTTCAGCTCAAGGCTAGCACTCTACCACTTGAGCCACTTCTGGTTTTCGGAATGGTTTATTGGAGATAAGAGTCTCACAGTCTTTCCTGCCCGGACTGGCTCTGAACCACGATCCTCAGATCTGACTCCTGAGTAGCTAGGCTTACAGGCGTGAGCCATCGGCGGCTCAGTTAATTGTTTAGATATAGTTTCAAGTTTTTTCTCTAGGGCCAGCCTCAGATTGCGCTTCTCCTACCTATGCCTCTTGTGTAGCTGGGATTAAGATGTGAACCACCATACCTGGCTTATTTGGAGGTGTTATCATGTGCTATTACTCCGAGGAGGAAAGATGAAGTAAAACTGGTTTAAACTAGTGTCATTAGCATGAAGTTAAAGTAGGAAGTAGCAGGACTGGATGTGTCATCTCCATACAGGGTTTCAGAGAGGACAGAGCCGAATCCCAGACCCCTGTGTTCTTCCTCCCTCTCTTCTTCTTCCTCCTCTCCCTCCTCTCCTTCTTTGTTCACTTTTACTGTACTATGCAGCCCAGGCTAGCCTCAAACTCTTGATTCTTCTGCCTCAGGCTCTGGAGTGCTGAGATTATAGACATGTGCCACTATGCTTGGTGCTCTGTTGGTGTTCTAAAGCTATCTTTTTTCTGCAAACAGAAAAACAGAAACATATGAATATTAAATGACATCATACATGCAGCAAGTTTTTCCATCTTCCTAACTGGAGATGGGGACAGGCCTGTTTTCTTTAGCCTTAGTGGGGCTCAGCATCCTTCCAGCAGCTCCACTAACATCCTGAGTCAGAGAATTTCTTTGCCCACTGTCTGGATTACTGATCAAGCTCTAAGACCCACATTTTAAGAATCACATAGAAACAGAAGATGGGTTCAGAAAAAAAAAATTAAGTAAAATTACATGGTGGAAATTGTGATTTCAAACAGAATTGCTGAAACAATTTGGTGTTTATAAATCTAAAAGAATTTCACTCCCTTCTAACTAGAATTGAATGTCATTAATTTTTTAAAATCTCCCATGCTGACATAGAATAGATATTGAAATGATTGTCAGAATTGTGGTAACTTCTAATATGAATCAGGCATCATCTAATTGTTTCCTAGCATGAGTATTTGGTTTACTCATCTATAACCTGGCAGGTATACTTCTTCTCCCTAAAATTCTGTTTTCTATGAAGCAAAATAAAATTTCTGTAAGGCTGCTACCATATTTCTGCCATCTGCCTTCCTGAAAATTATTTATCCCATATTTGCATGACAAAATCTTCCCATAAACTACAGATCTGTCCACCTGTTCTTCCTTCTACCTTTGGTGTACTCCCACCTCGCCCCCAGGACAGAATACCTGAAGTCCTCACTCATGGATAACTGTGGTCTGGCACTTCACAAAAATGTGAACCTTAAGTTTAAATTTATGTCACTTTCTTGGGAAAGTCATCCTGGTTTCTGGAAATTTCTAACACTTTATAGACAGATAGCCATATGGACTTGCACAAGTTTACTACATGCCATGTATGTCCTAGTACCAACATCTTAAGCCCCCCCAAACTTAAAATTTTATTTTTTAATTTTAATTTTTATAAGTTATGGGGCTTGAACCCAGGCCTGGGCCCTATCCCTGAGCCTTTTCGCTCAAGGCTAGTGCTCTACCACTTTGAGCCACAGCTCTACTTCTGGCTTTCTGGTGGTTAATTGGAGATAAGAGTCTCACAGACTTTCCTATCTGAGCTGGCTTTGAATCATAATCCTCAGATCTCAGCCTCCTTAGTAGCTAGGCTGTCTTGAGCCACTGGTGCCCAGCTAACTTAAAGTTTTAGATACAGATTACAACATGACCAAATTTTCTAGTTTAAGCAATTCATTAACAAATTGGAATTTGGTGAATTCAAAACAATATATTCTCATCTTTAAATGTAAAAAAAGAAACAAAAAAATAAAACCTTTTCCAATTTTTTTTGACCACTTCAGACACATTGTGTGGGAAAGGAAGATGTAAAAAGAATCCTGCAACAGTTGGATTTTGAATTGTACGACTTACCTGCAGTGTGTTGCTGGTGAAGTTATGGTATATTCGTTCCCTCCTAGGTCCATATCTCCACTAGCCAAGCTCCATGGGACGTCCATTCTGGAGAGACACCACTTGGAGTACAGTAAGACCCTCTTACAGGATGAGGTATGGCAGCCTTCCTCCAGGGCAGCCTACGGGTATGGAATCAAAACACTGACTCCCAGAAAATACTTGCAAAGAGTGGTTCTAAGGTGGGCACCAGTGGCTCACACCTGTAATCCTAGCTACTCAGGAGGTAGAGATCTAAGGAACGAGGTTCAAAGCCAGCCCCAGGCAGCAAAGTCCAGTAGACTCTTTTTTTTGGTCAGTCGTGGGGCTTGAACTCTGGGCTTGGGCACTGTCCCTGCACTCTTCAGTCCAAGGTGAGTGCTCTACTGCTTGAGCCACAGTTCCACTTCCAGTTTTCTAGTGGTTTATTGGAGATTTGAACCATGCCTTATCTCTAATTAACCACCAGAAAATTGGAAGTGGCGCTGTGACTCAAGTGGTAGAGCACTAGCCTTGAGCTGAAGAGCTCAGGAACAGTGCCCAGGCCCAGAGTTCAAGCCCCATCGCTGACAACAACAAAAAGTAGTCCTGAGTTGTGGCATTGACAACACATTCTTGTAACTATGTTGATTGATGGAAGCTTCTATATGGTAGTTTTTGAATTACTGAGCCAGAAGTGGCTGAGGCAGAGGAGAAAAGGGTCATGGAAAGTTACAGCATCAGTGTACCCATGGGGAAAGAATTGAAAAGCATACTTTGGGTGTAAAAGGTCTCCGTGCACCCTGAATGTGTTTAAATATATGGGAAGTGGGGAAGAAGGTTACTAGGCACTGGTTTTTCTAATCATTCCTTGGCCACACAGCTGAGCCTGCAGAAAGTCAGGCCTTATGTGGGTCAAAGTGGAAGACAGAGCCAGACAGCTGTCGCCAGAAAGGCACTGCGTTGTGTTCTGGAATTAGAAAGGGACCATACTCATGGGAGCAGGAGGGAAGGGAGTCAGGGACAGCCTAGACTGTAAGTGGCTTTGAGCCCCTTGAATTATGAATGGCACTTCCTGTGGGCTGCTTTCCACAAGCTGTTATTCTTCCCTTTATCAATTTCATTGAATGGATATATAGGCACATAGAAAAGTTATGGATGTAATCTAATGAAACTTTGTTAAGAAAGTTCCACACCAAAAACAATGCAAATGAGTCATTATTGAGAGAAACATTAGTTTTAACAGGCAGAGAATTTGCTTAGAATTGCGAGTTCATTTGGAAAAATACACTCTGGGGAGTAGGATTTTTCTTGCCATCAGTAATAAAGTTTTATTAAATGTTTGAGGATAGAGTATACAGAACTATATTCAAATCTAGATATAAAATGAAACTTTTCCCAATAATGGAATAGCCAAGCTGCTCCACACATGTCAAGGGAGGATATATTGTAAAGCAGAGTGATTGGGCAGAAAAGAAGAAATGGCTCGTGTGGTTTTTAGTGTGCTGTGATGATATAGCTCCTGATACATTGTCCATTCTAAACTTGCTGTAGCGTTTCACAATCTGCAATGCTCCTGGTGAGGCACCACCCTTGTACTGTTGTTGATTTTCTGTGACTATAAAAAATTACCTGAGCCAAAAGTAACATAGTGATTTGTTTGGTTTATGGTTCTGGAGGCTAGGAAGATCAGGTAGCCACATGTCTTTGGCTTCTGGTGAAGGTCTCATGATGGAAGGGGCAAGTAACAACCTGCTCTGTGACAAACCCACTCCCAAGAGAGAGGCATTAATCCCATTTAAGGACTTTATCCCTTTTTAATGGCCCTATTGTCACTAGATCTGGGGACAGACAGTTCTTGGTCTCATGAAGGAAAGAATTCAAGGATGGAGACATAGGAGATTTTGCAGAAGCCCTCTTATTAATGTGTAAGTATGCTCGAGACTGGAGAATGGCCAAGCTTGAATAAGTGGTTGGTCCAAGAGGTTTAAGATTTTGAACTTTTATTGGGCTTCACACGGAGGTGGTTGTCCCTGGGAAAAAGGAAGGATTTTTCATAGAAACTGGGACGTGTGTCATCTCTTCCCACACTGCTCAGGAGGGAGTTTTTGCTGCAGATGGTCAGGCCAGGACTGGTATGGCAGTTAGGTTATATGGTTAGTTGGTTATATGTCCTTAACTCTTTCCATATCAGGCAGGGGAGTTTGGGGCCTGAGACACTCAGACCAGGAATTTTCGTTTTTCAGATGGCAGGGGCTATGGGTCATCCAAAACAAGACAAAATATCATGAGTTGTGCTGTTGGCAACAGTTGGCCAGGATGTGCTTGTTTTAAGTCAACCTCTGAACTATTGTTCCTAGCCCTTTGGTTTCCTAACTCCATTCAACATGAATTTTGGAGGGAATAAACTCTATTCCAACCCTT